CCTATTACAAAAACCTATACAAAAAAGCACAACTATGGAATAAAGCCCAACATTATCATGCTTATAACTTTTCATTTCCTTAAACACAAAAGTATCCATTTACAACTTCAATCGAATTGCGCAGACAAAAAAAAAGCTGTATTAAAATATTTCTCACAAAAATACAAAAAAAATGCATCTTCCAAGCATTATGTACATCTTTACATATTTATAAACTGCAATATTTTATAATAACCTAGATATGTTTGTCCTGTCTATGATCAGGTGAACAAAAATAACATGCAAATAACATTTAGGAATATACATTACATATCATGTCACTCATAAACATGCTGCATTAGATCGTTGTTGCACTCTCAGAAAGATCTTCATCTTCCTGCCGAACGTTTTAATAAAGCACTTGTCACAGCACAATATACTATTCAGTATGGGATCATACGTGATGTATAGAACGAACATGCATGTGAAATTTGAATGCATGTCATGTGACTATTTTGTTATCGACAGTAGTTATGTGATTGGTTAGAAAGATGTGCCTGAGGGCTATGATTCAATCTGCGAAGCCACTGGAATAATTTCAATTTATTTAGGGAAAAAACATCACTGCATGTTCTTTTCCCATGAGGTAAACAATTTGTATCCATTAGAATGTACCATGCAAAAATTTATCAAGTTGTTAGATAAAGTGGGTGGCTCAATTTCAGTGGCAAATATCACCAAAACAGTGGCATAGACTATATCACTATTTTGTCATGAGATTTTGTTCTATAGAAAAGATCCTTCACAGAATGCACCAGTAAGATTGTGCTGACCAAAAACTGTCAGATTGCATCCAGGTATACTCATTTAAATTGATAGTGATGTCAGAATCACAGCACTAATGTTGGCACAAGAGCAATGTGGCCATATTTGAGTTGCAGTATTCGGTATATGTACTTGAATGTGATTTACCAGACAAAGTCGCATTTATAAAAAATCAGATAAAGGGTTATTTAAGGCCTGTACACATTATAGAATACTTGTAATAAGTTTGGGGACAAAATTCACTCAGTTTTCCTGTATCAAATCATCTTGCGTATCGATGGTTTTTCAATATTTAAAAATAACAAATGCCACAAATCAAGTATACTTTCAAAAAAACATACTATTAATTTCACAGACTGAACAGTGGATTTACTACTAGAACATAGCACTATGTAGACTGTTGATATGATGCAATCAGTGAAATTTCAGCATTGTTATAATCAAAATATTACCCAGTTTGTCGAAAAAATATACAGGCATTCGTTTTACTTCTAAATGTTAAAGTTTAAGGTTAAAAAAATAAAATGTCATAAAATAAAAATTTGCACATGACGGGCAAAGATTCAACCAAAAACAAAACAAAACAGAACAGAAGAAAACAGTACAGAACAGAAATCGCAATTTTTGTAATTATTACATTGTATTATGCCTGCTTTTCAAGAAACATATTTTGCAACTTTGCCCGATAAAACACACAAATTGTAAAACAGCCAGCCATTGCTTTCAATGTTTCGAAAAGTGGTTCACTGAAAAGCTGATGCAATGAGATCAAGGTGCAGAGGTTAAACATACAGTTGGCAATTTAAAATATCAAAAGCATGTCAATAAAGATAAATGTTGACAGTTGATATCAAAGTCCTAACGAAGTAAATTGAACCATCACACAGGGGGAAATTGATCAGTGTTGTACCCTGATTGATGAAAAAATCAATTTAAAATAAATGCTCAAACCTTATATTCTTAGTTAAGCAAAAATTTGTATACTATATTGATTTCATTACAACGGGAGAGATAATGAGACAAGGAAAAGATAAGGTTTGTGTTCTGATCAAAAGGGGGCACACTGATCCAAAATTCTGAAAAGTACAGTCATATTCTTACAAGGATCCCAGTCCAGTAAATCCAGGTCACAACACTAAAGTTGTTTCTAGCATGAAAAATGAAATAACTAGGTATCGTTATTTTTTATAATTTCTTATGATTTAGTTTTGTTTCTTTATAATAAAATGGCTGAAAAGGAACAAAAAGATCAAATATACATGTCTCACTATCATGCTCTGAAACATTGTGAAAACCATCCAACAATCAACCAGGTGTGGTGATAATAACCCTGTATCTGATCCTACACCCTGGATATTTACATGTATTCAGACAATTGCTGATATATACCGGCAGAATGGAGACTGACGGATAAAACAATCAATCCTAATTTTCCAATATATTAACCCCCTTGCTGGACTGTCAGTTGAATAATGCACTACAAACAATTCATTATTTTTAAATGTTCTAATGATGAAAAAAATTAAACAAATAGTTGTATTCTTATCTGAAAACTGTAGTAACTCTGAAATGTATACAAATTTCATTTTTTTGTGTGAAAAGCAAACAAATAAATAGTAAATATTACAATCCCTATATTACAATGATGGGGTAACTTGTACCAGACAAACAATAATTGGGTATTGGTGCAGAAACAGGTGCATATTATGTTTAATCACTTGTGAAGTTTATGCCCACAGCCACCAGCTTGCATATATACTGGAATTAGCACCAGGCAATCAGTACTTCAATAAAACATTTACAGATTAGTGGTAATGGACAGTGCAAGACTCAGTTTTTCAGTTTTGGAGATAAAATATTGCTATTAACAAGTGGCATAATCAAACTACCGTATATGTAGCCCTTTCCTACATCAACACCCAATATAAAACTTTGTTTTCAAAAAAAAAAATGTTATTGTAATTTACAATTGGTAAGTTTACGGACTTTGCTTCTGCTCACATTTCCTCTCTGAGTTTCTTTGTCTAGCGCTGAATTGCTGCCACTGTCCTTAGCACCTGAAAGGTATAAATAAATACAGTATGAGCAAAGTGATCTTCACAGCACTAAAACAATTGAACTGACTCTAACACATCAACTGCTGATGCCTTTTTCTCCCCATTTGTTTTGGCTTTCCGTGGTGGCTACACACCCAAGTAATTTGTTAATATAAGCAGCAATGGTGGTGTCGTTCATCATCATCTAAAGGATTTCACTGCTTTGGGACTGCTTACTGCTAAGATATTGCAGAAAAAGTTCTTTTTGTACCCCACCTCTAACGTAACACTACCCCTACCCTCCAGCACTCCCCATTTAATTGTACATGCCCCTCCTAAGGACATCTATAGTTATCTAGAGGGGGCATATACAAGTGAATTGGGTAACAGGGAGTGTTAAAATTAGGGTCAGGGTTCGGGGATACAAAAGGAACTCTTTCCGTTATTGCTTACGAATGGCTCTATTGGTATATTGATTACAGTACTGTATCAAAAGTTTTCAAACTCTTTTATGTACATTCCATTGTTTTGTACATATTCCCCAGCTAGCTCTGGTGAGTGAATTGTATCATCTACTGTATGAGAGACTCTCCCGGCACAGCAAGTGGGTATGTAAATGTATGTACCATATTTTCTGAATGAGATCAAAAAGCACTTTCTAATAATAAAGTATATATAGATTGCAAAATTGTGTTAATAAAACAGGGAATGGAATATCATCATTTCAAAGTACAGCAACATCAATTTTATTTTGTAATCAGTGAATTTATCAAGGTGAAATGATGATAATTAGAGAATAAGGCAAAATCAATATGTTTTTGATCGTCTTCTTTCTCATGAATTTATAACTATAAGGTTTATCAACAGTTTAAGTACATAAAACAATTTTGTATCATTATTTATTGCTTACCATACATGAAATGAATTGATTAGATTAGAGTTTTTGAAAGTTGAACTTTAACTGTATAAATGTTGATTAATTTCTAGATATAGAATGTTTAAAAAAATTCAAACCTGACTTGAAGAGAATGGTGTCATAACTATTCAGAAGATTCTGACAGAGGAAAAGATAATAACATTTCAAACTGAGTGTTTTTATTTTTTTATATCTTATCTGCATCTAGAAACGAGAGCCCTCATAGTTAAAACTGTCAGCTAGTGAGGTAGGGGAACTGTAAAGTCTATGCTATGGATAATGTGAGCAAATAAAAGACAAAATTTGTTGAGTCTTTTAAGGTATATGTTTTCATATAGTTTACAGTAATAATTAGATGTCCATTTTTTTCTAGCATAATGGCATGCAATGGAGCAAAAAAAAAAAACAATCAATAAAACCTTGAAAAGTGGACTTTCAGATATGCAGCAGACAGAAATCATTTAATAAACCATAAACCAAAATGAGGTATTTGCTATAATATAACATACAAATTATGCAATTTTGGGTGTATGTGAACTTTTATTCTAATAGAGCGAATACGGTATACATTAAACACAGATTAACAGCAAACTATGATAAAGATGAAGATCCTTACCTTTATTATTAACTTCAAATGTATATGGTTTTTCATCTTCATCATCACCATTGGCATAATATGGTATCTCAATCTCTTCATCTTCCTCATCTCTGCCACCTTCCTCGTTGTGTAAATCTTCTAAATAAGGTACAACTGTCATACTACGTAACATATCAGTGCTATCAGGTAGCGGTGGTAGTGGTACGGCATCCCCAATGATTGGGTGTTTCTTCTGAACCCACCTAATTTGTAAGCAGAGACAAAATGACAGTCTTCATCAGTATACAAATCTGAATGAAATTGGTGAAGTAAAATTTCAATCCAGTGTCGGTTTATCCCAAAAATTATTTAATTCAGATAGCATTACCATCACTTCTTTGCGTACACACAACATAAAATACATGTGCAATTCAAGTCAATAACATGAGATTATAGTGAGAATACTGCAAAGTTTGTAACAGAGACAGTATGGCAATTATAGTGACCATATTTATTAGAAGATAACAACCAAAAATGACATCAAATATTGCTCAGCAGTGTGTATCAGTAACAAGATTCTTCTCCGTCACACAATACAACACGTTGTCCGTTGTAAACAAAGGAAAATGTTTGAATGTGACGTCAGTAACCCTGAACACGTTCAACATTGGTGTAGTTTTTCCTATAAACGAAAAATGTAAATTTTATTGATTTTGATGCTGGATGTGTACATACATGCCTGCTTTTGTGGCATTATAAACATTACAGAGCAATGTGAGTGTAGCTATAAGTCATAGTTGAACAAGTACTTGTCCATATTGAGAGATATTGCTTTGGAACAGCATTCAAAATCAGCCATTTTGAATACATGTATATATCTATAACATGATGTATAACAAATATATAAAATTTGAACATAATCAGTCAAAACAAGTCAGAGATATGGGTCTAGAAGCCCATTCATTGATACAAAATGGCCACCAGTCAGCCATTTTGAATCTTATCTGAAAAACAAAATTATTTGCATCAAGGTCCCATTGTCTGATGTATATACCAAGTTTGAACAAAGTCCATTTGTAAACAGCCGAGAAATGCTTGATTTTGATGATATTTTAGCACAAAATCTTGAATCAGATCGTGAAATTGATGTGCATATGTATAATATTATGTTTGATGTACATGTGAAGTTTGATTATGATTGGTTCATGCATTTCTAAGATACAGGTCCAGAAGCACGCACACTCACACGCATGGACGCACATAGGTCAAAACATAAGTACCCGTTTTCGAACTGTGTCCGAACGGGAACTAAAAATACAAGTAGATTGAAAACTTACGAATGTTGTTTAATTTGCTGAATTGAAAATCTTTTATCTGGGTCATATTCTAACATACCTGGAATAAAACATATTCAAACAATTGCAATTATATTAGATGCACATTTTATAGGCAGAAAAACTTATTACCCTGGCCATAAAGAATGATTTTACAGTGCTTTTGTACATATAGACATCTGGTTTTGATGACTTTGATGATTAGAAGTGCACCTCTAATAGAAGTGCATGTAAACTGAATGAAAATATTGTTTATTTTTGGTCTCATTAGAAACAAAATTATGTAAAACAAGGTCTTTTCAAAAATAATAAATCAAGTGATTGAAGATCATACAAACAGATTATGAAATAAAACAAGATACTTCACATTTGTAATAACTCTGCTGTCTTTGTGGATTGTCTTTCTTATAACAAAGTGGATAGTGTTGTGTATGAGGAAATATTAGCTATTTGTCATGGTTATCCATAATGTTCCTTCCATGGTTTACATAGCAAGTACCAAAATAATTGGGCAGGTAGTTTTCAATAAGTCAAAAATGTTATTGTTGTACAATGGAGGGATGGCACAAAATCATAGTTGTGTCATCTTTACATGTGTTAATAATGTGTCAAGCCAAACCTATTAATCTTTTCACCACCACACTTTCTTGTCTAAAGTTGCACTTTTTTCTGGAAATGAATCCTAATTTTGAAGCCAACGGACAAAATTTGAGTCAAAATTCAGTGGCTATTTTTGTCCAAGTCTTCTGAAGGAAAGTGCAGACTATAAACAAGACTATTTTGTGAATTTGTGATGAAAAGAGGGAACTTGTGGTAAAAAGATTAGAATGTGCATTATACAAGTTATACTTGCTACAGATGCTAAATTGTCATCACATGGCCTAAATATGTTCTCCTTTGTAAGTCACATGGCATCGTCTAAATCGCAAGATTTCATGAGCAAACCTGTGCGGGTTTCTACTGAGAAGTCCCTTATTTTACCTCAGTAAAATACATAGATCTGATTTGTAGTGCCTCTAAAGTATGCGCCCAAAAGGAGTCCAAGTAAAATGTGTCATAAACAAAATATAGCGTTGTGTTGCTGATAGAATCCCTGATGCATTTTTGATGGCCTTTCCACAGTTCCCACTTGCCAGCATGGAGCCTGGCACAAAGCAATACTGAAATCAGTGTTTTAACTTCTAAAGTCTTATCGGCTCACAGTTGTTACCCCAGATGCATACCATAAATACACTGGCTAAGTTTTCAAACATGCGACGGTTGAAAATCTATGTTCATATTATACTGAGAGCATATAGCTTGCATCATACACATGAATATTACTGTGCATTTCACGGTGGTCGTATTTAATAGCTATGTTTCTTTATAGTGTAGTATAGTAAAAATAGGGAAACAAATGAATAGATAGAATTGATTTAATTAGTTCAGATCAGATCAGATTGCAAAATTTCAGCTCAATTTCTGGCTGGGAAGAAAATCTTCTACTGTACAATTTTGTTTGTGATGCAGGTTGACTGGACAATGCATTGAAGAAAATATCCCTAGTGTTGCCAGAGAAGGTGCACTTAGATATTTACATCTGCCAAAGTGTAGTGGTCGAATAAACAAACCTTGATCATATGGATAAATGCTGTTTTGCTATTTAGAGCATGATTTTGTAAGACAAGACAGAAATCACTTACCCCTAAGTAGTTCTGCCAATAGAGGGCCACATTCATCTGGCACTGTGAACTCTCCTTTACCAATATTTTCAAATAATTTGTAAATGTTGTCACCCTCAAACGGGTATTTGCCAGTAGTAATATTAAATCTGAGAACAAAAACAACACAAGTGATTTATTCAAAATTACCGTATTTGCTCTATTACAGTGTAGTAGCATATGTGTTTACGTAAATGACGAGAGGTTTGTCTATGCTCAAAATAAGTTTTAGTTTAATGAGCAAGTACAAAATAAATGCAATTTTTAGTGCTTGGATTGATCAGAAAATGTACTAAATAGTGCAAATACAGCAACAAATATACATTATATAAACACAAGGCTATGTTTAGATGGAAAGTTAAATATAGCACTGAGGTGAAGATAGTTCATGTGGGTATGAGTTATAAACAAGTGGGGTGCTATTAATCAAACGCATATCAAGTAGGCAAGCATTTTGCTTATATAACAGCTTATTTACAGGTCACTTTGGATTATGCATTACAAGTAACGTTTTATATAAGAGTAAAAAGTAGTCTTTTATTAGACATCGTGATTTTGAGGAATCTAATTGATGAGAAATAAAATCCCTTGAGTCCATCTGAGTGTTGTTACTGTTTGAAATTGATGTCTTTAATTCCACAATCATGTTAACATTACTATCTAAAACTTGCTCTAATAATTTGTTGACTAAACAAAATAATTGATTTTCTTCATCATTCTGTCATCTCCAAAAATAACTACAGGTATTTGCTCATAGTCCAACTAATGTAAGGATAATCACAATTCTATGTGTTTCCAATCAGATAATAAATTTGACTTAAAGGGCAGTGGTCATTGCACCGCGTCATGTTAAATATAGCGATGTACACATGTAAAATACATTGTTTACATGAAATATGCTGTGTGCCAACCATTGCCCTTTCAAGCATTTCAGCTTTTCACCTAACCATTGATAGCCATTATATTACTTACAATGTAATTCCTGCTGACCAGACATCCACTTTAAATCCTGAGAAATAATCCAAACCATTGGCTATCTCAGGAGGTTGAAATGCTGGGGAACCCTGACTTGTTTTACATGTATCACCTTCCAGGAATTGATCAAGTCGCTGCAAACAAAATATAGGATATACATGTCATTTCAGCATTTTAAAATAACCGATGTAATAACTGCAATAAAACCGTACAGGGTTATAGTTAGAAAATTGAAAGTGCCTGTCTAATAACTTTATGAATGAAAAATAGCGTTGCTAGTCAGTAGCCATAGTTTTATCTATTTTTTGTTGATTATTTAAGGTTATTTTGTGATTTAGAGGAAATTTTCAATGAAAATTGGTCAGGTTTATAAATATTTTGCTTGTCAAATGAAATTTTGTATCTGTCTGTACCTGTGGAGTG